CCTTCCCAGCCAACACAAAATAGCACTCAGCACTTTTTAGGTAAAGGGTGTAAACTTCATTTTATGTGTATCAATTTTTATGGTAAAAAATAACTGGATGCCCTTGCACTAGCCTCGTTTTCTACATTCAGCCTAACAATTCTATTTCTGTACCAGTCACGTGACATACAGCTGGCACATACAATGTAACAGGTACGGAGTGCAACACAAACCTATTCATTGTTGGTAACTCTATTGCTTTTCCTAAATTTTTATAGTTTCTTTTTAAAGTGATTAATAAATATAATACATATTGAGAAGGTATTAAGATCATATTTTCCATTGCCTTCCTTAACATAGCTGAGTTGTTCTTTCATCGCCATGGACGACAATGTTTAAATTAACAAAGTACATATGCTATATATAAGCCTCAGATGGTCAATAGTTTAAATGTCATGTTGAACTGTATTTACAGATTTGGTATCTTTGTATTTTCTTTTTCGGTTTATGCATAAACATTAGAAGCACCCAAAAAACTTATTTGGGCTTCTCTTTGTTGATTTAAAGCTTTTAAAATTGTGTAGGCCACTGACAATAACTACATTTTCATATCTCTGTGGAGATTACAAAAGTTTTTTTCTTCTAGAGATCAAATCAAAGGTTTAATTTCCATATAATATGTGATGATTTATTGAATATAGAAGTTGATGGAAAACTAACAAATACACTTTATGACAAATAGGATGACCTCAGGATTTCCATCTTCATAATTATATTTATGTGGAAATAATAATAGGTATGCATTTGTGTCAATATAGATAAGAATTAACTAAAAGTTAGCAATATCCTTATTCTCAGGATCAATTTGGAAATTTATTTTTTTCTCGAATTAATATGCATGATTAGACAAAGAAACTCTCTAATGAATGTTCACAATCACGTTTCAGATATAATTATTTCTTCCATGTTTAAGCATTAATCGGAAACTCTTTCAAATTAATACTTTATTGCATATCTCTGTTTAATGTGTCCCTCTAATGTTTCTCAAGTGCAAATTTCAAGAACCTTTTGACCGTTAAAGCATTTGGATATATGCTTAGATATATTCTTGATGATATAAAAGTAACTTTGTGAATAATATTTGAAATTAATGCTTATATTGTTGTAAAAGACAAAGAGTTTAAGAAGACCTTTTAAGATCACTTTATCAGAGGCAAAGTCAAAGATGTGGGATATGAAAACAAAGAAAGGTTATATTTAACCATTACATTATATTCCTTTTTGTATAGAAAGATAATGAAAGGAACGAGTGTTGTTTTAGCTGATGTTTACTGTGATTAAAGTACTGAGAAAGATTACGCTAACATTTTATACGAAAAATATTTGAGATAAATAATACTTAAAAGTGAAAATGCGCTTATATAACAAAAATTCGAACATAAATCTTTGTTAGTTATCTGATAAGTGTTCAAAGCATTAACCTATCCTGTTTCTCATCAACAAAGCTAAAAAGAAAAAAAGAGGTCCCAATACACACTCTTGACATTTTTAAGAACGTACAAGTCTTGTACCCTTTCAAATGGAATTAAACAGGTGGCATGGTTTAATAATATTGATTAATTATGACACACTTTACTGTATAGGAAAAATATATATTGTTGTCATGTTCTCTATGCACATCTTAAGGGGATGAAGGACACATGGTCACATGACTCTGTTTAACTACGTCATAGTCTCCTTTTATATTTAAGTGAAAACGTGTAAACCATCAGTTCTTTTATAAATTTTTGACAATTTGTTTTACTTTAATTACCATCTTACCTAAATATAATAAAAATTTTAACATTCTTGTAAACATTAACAAATTACGGAATATATTGTTCCATTCCTATGTTTCCCTATACTTTGCGTCCAACAAATCCTTGACATCATACACCATCTGTTAGTACAGCGAGATCATTTTTGGAGAATACACTGGCAGTATTACTATGTAAAAACAGGTCATAATCAGTATATGATGAAATATTTTGAGAAAACGAAAACACCAAAAAAAATATTTTTGCATGGCTGATGATGGATATCTTATATAGGTATTGCTTATTTCGCTTACTTAGCTTACATTTTACGTCATAGTTGGTTTTTCCCCTACTCGGGAAATGTAAATATGACACATTTTTGCCATACTTATGTCTTGTTTAATGATGTCCTATGCAATATTGAGGTCAGCTTCACCATTCAATACTTTTACAGTTGATTAATTAAATGAAGAACTTGCATTTCAATGTAAATTTTCAAATATTAAATGATCGAATTCTTGGCAAATTACATGTAAGTTTTTTTTTGTTGTTGTTTAATATGTCTTAAAAGTAGGTAATTTTCCCTACCCATATGCGGTGTGATAAAAGAAACTTGATTTTCCGAATTTTAAACCCTATTCATATTTTTAACGATACATGTCCACTGACATATTTTTTTTTTTAATCTCTGCTTATAAAATACCATAATGGACAGAGTAATGGGCCTGGGAACATGGAGAATCAAAACTCCACATAGAAACTTTAGGACATAGTATTTGGCAATCAATGTCTCTAAAATAAGGTTAGAAACATAATGGTATAACTGCGTTAGATATGTTGGACATACTACATTAGAAATATACAAAATATGAAAAAAAAAATGAATGACAATTTTTTTTTTTTCAGCTCAAGGTCCTTCTTCCTCTAAATGCATATTATGGTCTACATATTCAAAACATCATAACCATCATAAAGAGCGCTCAAAAATTTATCTGCTATTCATTTTGAAATTTTCCCATAGATTTTAGGAAAAAAGCCAATTTTCAACTTTAACTGGATCCTTTTACCAGACCTACGGGCAATGGGCATTAATTGGTCTCATATTGCAACACATGTAGGTCACCTTATATACATGTAGGTATACTCATTACTTTACTTTGACTCTTTACTTTCACTTTTTACTTCAACATTAAGAACATTAATGGATTGATAAACATTAGAATGATAGACGTGTAACGATATCGAATTATTAAGTTTTGATAAATAAAGGTGCATGTACTTTGATACGCCATTATAATTATAACTCTTTATCAGTAATGAGGACTTTTTCCCTCCGAGAAAGTGTTGGTCAATTAAAAAGTGCTCCGCAAGAGAAAAAAATAAGATGATAAAGTTACTTCAAACTTCAGAGAAGAAAATTTGGAGAAGATGCAACGGCTGGGAAACTATTAATTTATTTTCTAATTATTTACATTTGATTAAGGTAAGGGTTTTTATCCCTCGGCACCAAAGTGGGTAAATGAAATTAGAGTCAAGCATCACCTTCCAGGTGATTCTCCTTTAACTTTTAAATTTCTTCTTCCCAAAAGTGGCCTCTATTTCAAACGAGAAACTTGAAGCTAAATATATTTTTCCAACCAAGAGAAATATTAAGAAATGAATAATATCACTCTATTTATTTAACGTTGTCCAAATGTATATGTAGAAAAGCATACAAGTACAATGACACAATCTACTTACTCTTATCTAAAAAAAAAAAAATACTGACATAGTAGCATCTATACTACTAGGTCAATTATAATAAACACAGAGTTTTTTGACCAGCTTACTGCCTGCAGAGTGGTATCTACTGGTATTTCGAGGCCTAAACGCTTCTGGTAGATGCTGCACTAGTGCTTGCAGCTACAAGATAGTTTCATCAATTCCTGATATTTCCATTACAGCTTTCAGCCACCCGCCGATTGTATCTCCAGATACGTGTTTGTACGGCCGTTGTATAGTAATAGACAGTTGGGTAAAAGAACAGCGAAGCTTTTTGACTGGACTTAATACATATGAATACACAAGTCATGCAATGGACTTCGCCTTTATTTTACGATAAACCAGAAAAATACGTAAGGCCATTCTGACATCTTTCAGAATCAAAAGCAACTCTTAATCTATAATAGAGATATGAATAAAACCTCTGTCTCGTATTACAAAAAAATCATGATTTTTTTTTTAAAAATAATGTTGATATACGAAAACCTTTTATTTAAATAATTTCAGATATTACTATTTTTCTGTTCAAGAGCTCTGGATAAGATAATGCATATATAAATAACTAGAAATAGGGCTGCTATTATTAAAAGCCCTACGATACTAAAAATTAAAGTAGATTGCTCATTCTCTTTCTCCATGTTTTCTGCGTTCTTCAGACATCTCTTACCGTCGCTTATTCCTTGTGAGACATCTATAAGAGCAATTATTCGCTATAAAATTGATTAACAAATATTTTGTATTTTTGATAGTGTTAAAAATCATTAGTTGTTTAAAATACGTCGATATTACCAATTGTTATATTCAATAAAGAGTAATTTCTTTATTCCCTTTATTGAAAAACAGTCAACATAATTGGTAATATAGTAGGTTTGGTAATAAAGCACTTATTTCATAACAACTCGGGAAACAGTCAAACTGTTGTCCCTCGATAATAGGGAGACTGGGAAACTGTTTCCCAGGTATTCCCTATTACCTTTTTTAAACGTTTAACTTTTCCCCACGTAGTCATGAAGTAGGTATACACAATTGACCGGTAAGGAGTTTTTTTTTTTACAATATCATTGATCATGATTAATTAGTAGATTGATTTAGTATGGTTTCATGGTACCTTCGTGACATCTAATAAACTTAACATCAGCAAAAAAAAAAAAAAAAAAAAAAAAAAAAAAAAAAAAAAAAAAAAAAAAAGGAGAAAGAGGTAACACAAGCATGGCAACTTGTAAATTCGCTGGTAATGCAGTCATCGTTAAGATAATCATGGGAAACAAATGAGTTGTTGAATTTTAATGAATGAAATCAAACTACTACTATTATTTTATTGATTTGTTTAATTTTTAGGGCAACACTGATAATGTTAGCCCTTCGGGACGAATATATTGCCCTCGTCGGGCAATACTTCATTATTTGGGGTCTAAGATAATCAATGTTGCCCTAAACCCCAGTCAATATTTGTATAATATTTACTTATGAAATTACTAATTGTGTTAACAATTTTTCATGAAAAGCAAAAATGGAAAAATTTGCTAAAAATGCAGTCATTGCTAGAAAAATACCATCACTGGTTTTCTTCAAAGTAGAATCTGTAGAACCAAATACAGTGGAGGTTTCTGTTGTAGCCAACATACTTAAATATGCTTCAGAGGAGATACGGTGAGTAGAATCCAATTCTAGATACAAAGATATGAAATTTAAGGCATATGATACGTAATTTCCAGCTTAAAGAAAAACATAGGATAATAAAAAAAATGTACAATTCTGAACTATTTTCTATGTTACTGAGTATAAATATGTATCACAAAGGCACAGTCCATATGGAAATTGAATTCAAAAAAGAAAAGACGTCTAATTCATATACATTATTATATAGTGTTTAATTTTGCAGACGAGTCGTCTTTGCTTTTAGTTCCTTGAACCTCTTTCCGTAATGTAAACTGAGTGTCCAAATCAAAGAGATGGGAAAATAACAGAAATTTGTTTAAAATAGGTTCATGCAATCCATTGCCCTGCCTCACACGATTAACAACAGAGTTAATTTTCAGTACACCATACCCATACAACATTTTCTTAATTAGATCAGCTCAGTCGGTAGAGCGCTCGCTCCGTGATCGGGAGGTCGTGAGTTCGAATCTCGGCCGCGACAGACCTAAGTCGATAAAAAATAGGTAGCAACTGTTCCTTCGCCATGCGCTCGGCACTTTGGAGTGAAAGTTGCGGGTCTTTCGGATGAGACCTTAAAAACCGAGGCCCCGTGTCACGGCAGGCGTTGGCACGATAAAGATCCCTCAATGCTCAATGGCCCTGAGTGCCGAGTAAAGGTCAAAATTTGAAGCCCTTCACCGGTATGTGGTGACGTCTCTATATGAGTGAAAAATTCTCGAATGGGACGTAAAACAATATACAATCAATCAATCATATAATTAGATCAGACGTACGTGTAAATGATTTAAATAATGAAACTCCAGCTGTTAAAAAATTCATGCTTACCTTGACATCCTGTAGAGGGATTACAGTGGTCTTCGTCACATTTGCAGCGCTGTTGGCATCTATCTCCATAGCTAGGGTATCGACAAATATACTGACAGTAATTACCAAACTTCCCCGATTCACACACAGCTGCGAAAAAAAAAACGTTTTATTTCCCACTTTTAACGTTGCAATTTGCAATCAAGTTCATTAAAGCCATTGATCTAAATGTACCTGAAGAATTCTTGCAGCCAAAAACATGGTGGCAACTTTCATTTGGACAATGACATGTGGACAGGCACTTTTCACCAAATGTTGGTGGAGAGCAAGTAAACATACAGTCCGTGCCATGAAAACCCTTCAGACAAGCTTTAAACAAAATATGAAGAAGCATTATTAAAGCTAATTGACCTGGAAGATTAACGATGATACATGTACCATATAAGTAGAAACTTTAGCGAGACGAAAATGTAAGGATTTATTCTAAAAATGATATTTATTTTAGCGCGAAGTAGTTTTAGCGATTTTAAAATTTTAACTATAGAAGCTATTACAAATAAAACGTCATCAATTTGTAGCGATATTCAATTTTAGCTATCTCAGCTCCCTTGCTTATAATGCCAAAATTAAATCGTCGATTAAAATTCTACTTGTACGGCATATTTTTTTTTTTAGGTATTCCATCAGTAAGAGCCTCAGATTCAATGGAATTTGATACAGAATAGACGTGTACGGATTAAATACTCAGTGTATTTAGACGTAATTCCCATTCATTACAATCAGTATGTAAGAGTGGAATGTGTCTTAAATGATGACCTTGACCTGTCCTTGAAGATATATCTCCGTTTTTTTAATAAGTAAAACATTAATTAAAAAAATATCCCGCAAAATTTTTCAATTGTTATTCTATTCCTAATTATTAAAAACATAGCATTTATTGATATTCTTAGTACTTGACTATTCATCTTTAAACATTCGCTTATCCCCATAGACTCAATGCACTCTTCGTTTATAAATTACTGCTTATATAATAATACTTTGCAAAATGTCTCCTGGTAAATTATTTTCTTCTCTAAAATGCTTTAAATCAATTTCAGAGTATAATAAACACGATGGATATCTAAGGATTTGGGATTATGGTGAATAAAGAATGAAATACCTCAATGTTTCTCATTAATATGCTATGCAATTTTTTTAATGAAGATACAAACGTCTGTGTTTATTCATTAATTTATTAAAGAAATGGACATTGAAAAAAAAAAATGTTACACCTACGTTGTAACTCCTAGTGGATCCATAGTAAGTGCAAAAATTAATCAAATTATGTATGCAATCCCTAACAAAAAAGTACTATAGTAAACTGTAGTTTACTATCATTAACTATAGTATCAAAGTTTTCACATTGATAAATCAAAGTTTTACTCAGTAAGAATATGTATATAAGTATACCAAGCCGATATGTCTACGATAATCAAATTGTCTTTACTATGCGATATGTCTACGATAATCAAATTGTCTTTACTATGATTTTCAGATCTTTATATTTTATTTTTCTTAAATTCCTATAAGCAATTTTCTAATATGAAACGAAAATATGACATGTAAATTTACATATTATTTAAAAATATTTAGTCATTAAAAATTGATTTTAAGAAGTATTAAGGCTACAAATCTTCAGGAAAAATCTAGAATAAAGTTCCATAGAAAATCAAATTATCAATTTGAAAGTATTTACTATAGATAACTTTAATAATTTTTTTTAGGTTTTTTTTCAATTTTATTTTGGCTTCATTTTGTACAAGTTTGAAAGCATTTCTATTATAAATATTGTGAGCCTAAAAAAAATTCATAACGGTATAGAAATATGACTACGACATAAATTCTCATTTCAAGGCGCCCCAGTGGTCAAACATAAAATATTTGTAACGCAGAGGAGACCTCTTGTCTAAATCAAGGACAGGGTAAAAGAAAAACAATGAAAAGAAAACATGTTAGGGCCTTTGGTTAAACATATTTATCACAATTATTTAACTAGAGTGAAAGCAAAGGAGTAGGACGACAAACAATTATTACAAACTATAAAAAATTACGTCAGCGGTGCTTACATGTAAGTGCAGCAGGATGCTTGGCAAACTTTAATGGTATTTTATCGCCATTTGACATTTAACATTGGAGAACCCAAAAACGCAAGCTTTAAATAAAGAATGAAAAGAGAATGCTTGATCTCTAGATTGTTTTTAAGTGATTGTAGGATAAAGAGAGTTATCGTTTCTTGATCGTTTCTATGTCCGAAAAAAAAAAAAAATCCAAGTGAAGTGACGTTAAACTGATGTAGCAATAAAATCTGCTGACTACTCCAAATCAATGGATAAATGGAAATCTATAAATTCTCCGGAAATTCTCTAATGATTCTTTTAGCTAAAATTTTCCAGATTTCTTTTATTTGTACATGATAAAATGCAAGAGAATTCTCATAAATTGATTTCTGTCTTTTATCGAGTTAAAGCAAATGTCTCAATAATTTCCTAACAACCCTCGTATGTGTATACGTAAAATTGTGTCTGTGTAATAAATTTATCTTTGACAAGTACGGTGACAGTATCCCCTTTCACATTGAGCCTAGATTCCTAAGGGTAAAATATGAGCTATGGATCTTTCTTTGCAATTGTTTTTTATCCGCGGGTATGTTAAGGCCACATCCGGATATCCTACTTGCCTATACAATATGACGTCATAGTCAGCTGTATGACGTGGACTTTAGAGATAATGATTTCTTAATTACTATATTCAAAGTTTAGTTTCAGGTCCAGTTAGAGAATGGAATCATTCATAAACATAATATAAACTAAATCTTTTCGTTTTTTTTGGTGGTATAAATAGCAAGTATTTGTCACAGGGGTTAAATTCCAAACCCATATGATGTCATAATCATTGATCAAATATTTGCCAAGTGAAAATTAAACGTGACGAGAATTCATGTAAACAAATATATGAAATGAGAGTTTTAAAGCATATACCGTGAATGTCATGTATGATTCATGAGAAATTGAAGTTTAAGAATCAGGTACGCTAATTTATTCGTATCATGTTTTCTTATAATGAACACAGACAGTGTTTTGAAATCCCGATCAGCCTTTCCCCTGTCGTTCTAAGAACAAAGATGCAAAAGTTCAACTCTACGCCGCGTACTTTGTAATATAATTTTTGTTTGTATAGAAAGCTTGTATTCTATATTATTTGGAAAGTGCTGCTAGAATCGTGTGGTAAACAAGAATTGATGACAATTCCTTGATCGTATGTACAAAATGTAAAAGTTTTGGTAAGGTTTCATGCGAAACTTTGGAATATTTTTTTTTCTGTGTCGGGAGAGTGGGATTCTACTAGCACTTTCTACGACTCAGTGATATTTTTACATAATTATTTTCACAAAAAGAAATGAATTATCCCCGGGGTATTGTTGAACTTTTCACTTTTTCATTAAGGCAATTTTTCTATTTATAGACGTCACGTGATGACTTCGTAGTGGAGTGCTTCATTTAGCCTAATACTCAATGACGTCTATACAAAGGATAATAATAGTAAATGTTCTATCTATGGTTTTCCGATTTATCAATGTTACACTTTACAAAAAAAGTGTAAAATCGCCGAAAAATGATCAGGGTACTGCCTTAAAACAGCTGCGTCTACATTGAATAATACATTGTGTATAATAATTAATGTGGGTTTGTTTATCATTTTGCATTCAGTACCAATTTTAGATGGTGTAAAAATTTTAGATATTCATCCTCCGCATAGGTTTGATGTAAAAATCATAAAAATATTGAAAAAAGAAAGGATATAATTATTGCCATTAAAGGAATAAAATCATTTTCATCAAAATAGACGACGTTTGTATAAAGCATTTCTTGCTCATATATGTACAGACCCTAAAACGTGCTACTACACCTCAGAAACGAACCGTACCGTTCCGTGCAAGAAGCGTACCGTACTGTGCACAAAGCGAACCGTGCCGTACACAAAACGAACCGTACCGTACACAAAACGAACCGTGCCGTACACAAAACGAACCGTACCGTGCAAGAAGCGTACCGTACCGTGCACAAAGCGAACCGTACCGTACACAAAGCGTACCGTTCCGTGCAGGAAGCGTACCGTACCGTGCACAAAGCGAACCGTACCGTTCATGAATAATTTTTTAGATAATTATGCAAGCCACGCCCCGAAAGCATTCCGAATCTTGCAATGACCAATTACAGTAAGTAATTTTCTTTTATTTCTTTCAACGCAGCGCCCGTTAAAGAAGGACGGAAAATAACCCTAGAGATTCAATTATTAAGTACCATGCATCTGGACTTACATCTGTTAATATATGGAAACTACTCAAAACTAGTTAATGACTTGAAAACAACTCGACAGAGTGTGAGACGGTTCGTTATTCGCTATGCATGATCGGGTTGTGCTTGACTAACATTTTTTTCATATTAAATGCAGCATCGTAATATTTTCGTGTACAATTTATAATAAATAAAAGTGAATTGTATACGTTTCTTTCTATAGCTTTTATCTACCCTATTCTTGTCTCTATTCAAGCATTCTCGGAAACCAAGACACATTGAAAAATGTATTAGGATTCTGTGCTATTTTCTGAAATCAAGCCCTTAAAATCATTTTTTTATTCATGTAAGCAATATTTTTAGGGAGAAATGCAACAACAACCAAAACATATTCAAAAAAAAAAAAAATTACGAACTAAATTGTCATTTTGAAAGCGGACATGTTAAAATGTGAAGGCCTCTCAATCACTAGAAATAAATAAATAAAAGCGATATATATATAAATAATATGTGTTGGTTTACACTCATCTGACCAACCCAAGATGTTATCGCCAATATAACATACTGTCAAAAAGTTCGATCGCCTCATTTTCGCATGGGATTTTCAGTTTAATACACGTAATTAAAAAAAAAAAACAATCTGGATAAATGTCAGAATAATATTTATTTAAAGCATTTTCTCATTTCATTTGCTTTATTAACTGAAACCTGCAGATAAAATATGTTACCTGAAATTTACACGTAAAGCCCAGTTTAACCTTTAAAAAAAATGCTTAGTCCGTGCATGCGTGTTCATCCAATTTTTTTTTTTTTTAAAGAAACACTACATTTCTTGCCATGGTCTCGTTATCTAGACTGACGTCTTTCTATACTTTCGTTATTTACTCAAAAACATTTGAATATTTCGATCTAGTATTGTCATCACACGTGCACAGGTAAAAACTTAAGCTGTGTATATTGAACCGTATCTAATCCCGTTAGTCCAGATATGCCTACATTCACACGTATATCTACAGTTTGCTGTGAGTCTTAAACAGTAAGTCTACAACAATGAACCAGT